GCCGCCGCCGCCCTCGCCGCCGCCGCCCTTGCCGCCGCAGCCCTCGCCGCCGCAGCCCTCGCCGCCGCCTCCGAGCCCGCCGCCTCCCTCGCCGCCTCCACCGTCGCCGCCCCCACCGAGCCCGCCGCCGCCGTCGCCGCCGCCGCCCTCGACGCCGCCGCCCTCGACGCCGCCGCCCTGACCACCGCCACCGCCACCGCCGCTGCCCGGCCCGCTGCCGCCGTCGCCGCCGTCGCCGTCGCCCCGACGGCGCAGCGGCGGCGCAGCCACCCGCTTACGGCATCCTTGGGGTTGTGCTCGCGCCGGCCGACCTCGCCGAGCCGCTAGCGCGCGCGAGGGAGGCATGTGCGTTGCGCCGCTCAGCGGCCGTGGAGGGCGAGCGCGGGGGATGCGCGCGCTCACTAATAAGTGCTACATTGTGCGTGCTGTATGTCGGTCTGCACACTGTACAGTGCCGCGGTGCCAGTGGGGTGTGAATGTGAACACTGACCCTCACACACTAAGGGTTGGTCAACCATGTGGGTGTCTATGTGTTTCCCTCGGGCAGTAGATTTCTATTTCATCGTCAAAAAGCGCCCGTATTCACTTGCCAAAATCGCGACCGGGGTGTTCGACCGGGCTAATCACACCCCTCTCCTTAAAATCCCTGTGTGGTGGCGGCGTGCCGTCCTCCCATCCCTCCCTTGGGTTGCGTGTTTTCTTTCTTTCTTTGGCGCGCCAGTGCGCAGTGACCAGTGTCGTGCAAAAAAGAACTGCCATTTTGGAGAACTCTTAAAACGTTCATAAAACTCACTGGAAACCACAGACCGCGATACAGCATAGGACCCGCCCAATTACAACCCCTGGAGACGCCTCCCCGCGCGCCCACGCAGGGCGCGGGGTGGAACCACGAATAACAAACAGGCGGGGAGTGGGGGGAGACGGACGATCCACAGAACGAGGACAGACGAGAACGGTACGTCACTCCAGCGGCCCCTCCCGTAGGGGCGGGGGGCGGCGAAAGCTGCCGTGGCCCCCCCTCTACAGGGATGTGGGGGTGTGCCCTCTCGAGGCATATGTGGGGGGGCTGCCGCCCCTCCTCCCGCTCCCTCCGCTGCCCCTCCACCCGCGTCGCTCCCGCGCCGCCGCGCCGCGCCTAGGGCGAGTCCATCGACGAGGGCACGCGCTTCGTGTTCGGCAGGTAGTCTGGCTCGTCGATGGACGAGTAGATGCGCGTCTGGTTGGCGTAGGCGCCCTTGTCGGCCGACTCGGCCTTGCCGGCGAACTGGGACTCGGTGACGCCGGCGCCCATGGCGGAGGTGGAGGAGGCGCCGCCCGACGCGATCCGCATCTGCTCGTCCATGAGCTCCGCGCCCGACCAGTGCTGGTGTCTGAGCAGCTTGACGCCAGCCTCGCGCTCGGCGCGCTGGATCATGTTGACGTAGGCGTGCATGCCGCGCTCGGCGTACGCCTCGACGAACTTGTGCGTCATCAGCCCGTCCGCGTGGAAGCCCGCCAGCGTGATGAACTGCCACACGAAGCCGCGCCGGCCCAGCTCGCCCGTGAAGGCCTCCATCTGCTGCTCACTCATGCCCGCCGCGTCCCAGTTGAACGAGGGCGAGAGGTTGTAGGCGAGCATCTTGCCGGGGAAGGCGGCGTGCACGCCCGCGGCGAACTCCTCCGCCTGCGACAGGATCGGCTTCGCAGTCTCCATCCACAGCAGGTCGGCGTACGGCGCCCACGCCTTGGCGCGAGCGATGGCCATGTCGGTGCCCGGCTGGAGGCGGTAGTAGCCCTCGCGCGCGCGGGGAGCCTCCCAGTCGAAGGCGGGCATGCTGTCGCCCAGGATCGCCTTGGCCGCGGCCGTCATCTCCTCGATGCCGCCCCCCTGCGCGACCACGTTCTCGAACGGCAGCATCGACGCCGGGGCGACGCCGCTCGCCTTTGCGGCTGTCCGGACCGCCTCGGGGAAGGTGCACATGCCCGCGGCGTCGGCCCACTTCTTGGTGACCTCCTCCGAGTCGAGGCCCTGCTCCGCCGCGAGCGAGAGGGTCGCGTTGAGCGTCGGCGCGTCCAGGCTCGTCCCCGCCAGCGGCCGCGAGACGGTCGCTCCCACGATGAAGGCGTGGTCGCGCGGGTCGATGTTGGACGAGATGAAGGTGGCCGCCTCGGCGTCGGTGCGCGCGATGATGAGGGTGGGCGTGCCGAGGATGTCCGCCTGCAGCCGCGCCGCGTTGAGCCGGTCCGCGTGCTCCTGCGTCGGCACGAGCACCTTGCCTCCCATGTGGCCGCACTTTTTGGTGCCGGGCGACTGGTCCTCAAAGTGGATCCCGGCGGCGCCAGCCTCGACGAACATCTTGGTGAGCTTCATGACGGCGGTGAGGCCGCCGTGGCCGGTGTCGCCGTCCGCCACGATGGGCGTCATCATGTCGGGCACCTGCGGGTTGGCCGACTCGCGGCACTCCTCCTCCCACAGCCTGCGCTCGTGGTGCTGCATCGCGCGGAAGAGCTGGTCGCACTTGTTGGGCACCGTGTCCATCGGGTAGTCGGCAAAGTCGGGGCCGGGCTCGTTGGAGGAGGCGGCGGTCGAGGATGACTGCCACCCCGAGATGTAGATGGACGACAGCTTGGGCGCCATCGTGGCGACCTGCACCGGGTCGAGCGCGCCTGCCGGGAACACCAGTCGCGAGGGTCACGCAGGCAAGGAGGGGAGCGGGGGGGGGAGGGGAGGGTGACGGTGGGGGGGGAGGTAGGAGGGTAGGGAGAGGCGGGAGCCACGCGCCGAAGGTGCGTGAGTGGCCGCCGCTCTGCTTGCAGAGCTGCAGCGTGTCGAAGAGCTTCATCGACATCTCGCCAGCGGCAAAGGAGTTTTGGAGCGAGCCGCGGAGCTTGATGACGTCCTGCGCGCGGGAAGGAGGGAAGGGGGGGTGAGTGTGGAACCGTCGCGCCGCGCGGAGGACGCCGAGGCGCGTGCCTCGGCCGTGTAGTTCCGCTTGGTCTCGGCAAAGCGGTCACTCGACCACCACTGCTTGAGCGCGGCGACCTCGGCCGCAAAGTCGCGCTTCTTGGGCGGGATGCGGGGCATCTCGCCCGCCAGGGGCACCGTCGACATGCCCCTGCTCAGGAGCGCGACCGCGGGGCGCGATTTGTTGGCGTGCACCATGGGAGCTCTAGTTTGGACCTCGGTGAGAGAGCTCTGGCTTTGACGAGGCACGGTGATTGCAGCGTAGAACTTTTTGGTATCGTAGGAAGTGTGCACCCTCCTTGGCTGAAGTCGAACGTGCCTCCTCGGCACGCGTGCTTGTCGGCGTGTGTGTGTGTGTGTGTGTGTGTGTGTGTGTGTGTGTGTGTGTGTGTGTGTGTGTGTGTGTGTGTGTGTGTGTGTGTTTGTTTATTTAGCGTGTGTGTGTAGAGACTAGAGAGTCTTTCGCACCGTGTTTGTTGGAGCGGCCGCACATTGCTCGGTACCCCCCCTGCACATCTAAAGCCATGGCCGACCCCCCCCCCAGCAGCAGCGCTCTGCCTGTGGGGGGTGCTGCGTGCTGGCATCTCTGTACAGACAGCAGCTGTAAGTAAGTACGGTTAGCGTTCCAGTGGCGAGAATTTATGGTCGCAGTGGTCTCACCGGCGTACCGTCGCAGTGGCAGCCGGACCACCGTGATCTTCGACAGGGAGGGCCACGCCTCCCCGAGCTCGATGAGGGGCCAGCGGAGGGGAGGGGCGAGCCGAAGACGATAGAGAGGCCGCGGATGCGGGCGCGACTCGTCGACCAGGGAGAGCCGGCCCGACCTCCCTGGGCGGGGAGGCGACGCGACCCATGCCACCGCCTTTGCCCCGGGGAGTCGGGCGCGGGATCGCCGGAGGCGGAGTCAACAGGATCAGGCAGAGAGGACGAGACGGCGGCGGGGCCGCAACCGAAAAAGGCTAGGAGGGGAGGTAGGGCCTCGCGCCCGCCGTACAACCATCGAGAAACGAGAAGCAAACAGGAGAAAGGACCGAGCGGGGGGGTGGACCCAACCGGCGCCGGGGCAGGGAGGCCGGGCGGAGGGGTTGTGATTGGCGACGCCGTCGCCAAGGGGGAGTGTGTGTCGTCGCGTGTCCTTGTCTGGTGTTTACTAGCTCCGAGTAGAGGGGGCGTTTTCTGCTGCTAGAGGAAACCTGGAGCGCGGTACTAACCCTCGGAGACCCGTGTTTATTTTACGGCCCTTTCCCTGCGAACGCGCACCCCCAGGGCTAGGGCTCTCTTGCCCGCAACCCGATCCCGATCATCCGGCCCGCTGGGTGCGCTCCTCAGCTCCCCGGCCCTTGTCGTATGTGCGGTGTGACCCTCGAGCCAACCCGACCGACCGACCCCCCGCTGGGGCTCGCGTGGGGTGCTCACGCCCCGCGCGCGTTGGACGTGCTCAGGCTGCTGCCGATGCCGGCGGGCGCCAGCAAGGAGTCGCTCGGCTCGCAGCCAACCTTCCGCGCGAGAGTCCTGCCCGTCCTCCCGCCGGTGCCCGCCGCCTTCGGGGCCGCCCTCGCCTCGCGCGCACTCGAGCTGTTGCGCGGAGGCGGAGGTGGAGGAGGAGGCGGAGGAGGCGGAGGAGGAGGCGGAGGCAGCGACGCTGCCGATGTGAACGGCAGCGCTTGCGGCGGCGACTGCGACGATGGCGGCGGCTCGATCGGCGCCTCGCCTCCCCAGCTCCCCTGTATGGGCCGCTAAATTTACCCCCTTCCGCACTGAAAACATTTTTGACCGCAGCGAATATGTTCACACCCGAGCGGAGGCCAATTGATTCGCGAGGCTCTGGCAAAAGTGCGGTTGGCAACGGGCTCTTGTCCGTGCAAGCGCCAAGCCTTCAGCTGGTGCCAAAACGTACCAAAACGTCCTCTCCGCGACCAAATACGCGGTCGTCGGTAGAAATGGCTTGCTTGCAAGAATGGGATGCCGACAGGCGTCAGGCGGCGCATGCCGAGAAGTCGCTTGCCGTGCGGGAGCTCGTGCGCCTCTCCCTGCGCGTGCAGTCCACGGGCGTCGTCGCGGAGCTTCATCTCGACACGGCACTGGTTGCTACGAGCGGCAGCGGAGCTGATCACGAGCGACGAATTCGCAGGGGATGCCAGGCAACAGATGGGCGCGCAGATAATTGGCGTGGCGTCCTAAACAACGCACGAGCATGCTCAACTGCTGCGCGACGCTCTCTGCGACCCCGACTTTCTTTATGCGCTTAGCCTTCGCCGCCGCATTTCCTAAAGATTCCTAAAGCGACACTAGCACTAGATGCGTCCTGGCATCGGGAGGGTCCGCCTAAGAGGAAGTATGCATGTACTTTGTGCGTGGAGTGTCTTCCCCTTTTGCGCAGCAATACCTTAAACTTTTAGGCCCTCCAAATTCGGGTCGGAGCGTGTAGCGGAGTGGGCCCCGAGTTTGAAAAAGGCGACGGACGCTTGCGTCCTAGCCTCCAACAACGCCTCCCCGGCGCAGAGGGGCCCCCGGAGGGATGCTCAACCGCTCCACGCCACGCCGCTTGCGGCGGTCCTCTTCCCAGCTCCGCTGAGGGCGCACACGTTATTCTCAATTTGTGTAAGGCGCAGCTACCGCGAAGCGAAGGTATGCGCGCTGATGCCCAAGCGGTGCGACACACCGTTCAAGCCGCCGTCCCAAGTCCGCATATGCGCCTGGGCGGCCGAGCATCGGCGGTGGGGCAAACTGATGCTCCTTCGAGCGAGGCCGAGGCTTCATGTGAGGCCAGCACTTCATGCGAGGCATCGGCTTCGGGAATGGAGCCCGTCGGTGAAGCAGCCCTAGAGCCTGACGACGCTGCTGCGTCGATTAGCACAGTCGTGTCGGCCGAGCCGCCGGCGCCAGCTGCGCCCGCCTCGTCTGAGCTCGACAGTGGCAAGGCCGCACGCAAGGCCGCACGCAAGGCCGCACGCAAGGCCGCGCGCAAGGCCGCGCGCAAGGCCGCGCGCAAGGCCGAAAAGGCGGCCCGTCGATCGGCGGGCAGTGCCGCTGCCGCGGTGGCCACCGCGGCCGCCTCGTCTGCCGCTCCGCTGACAGACGCTCGCTCGGGGGCGGCGAAGCGGGCTGGCGCGAGCAGGAGCAGCGAGGCGCTCGGGCGGCTCTGGATGCAGCACGCGTCTATGCTCCGCGAGTCGGCGGCGAGACTCTTCGCGGACATGGATCTGATCGCGCAGGAGAGGAGGAAGCGGAGGCGAGGGGGAGGAGGGCCGCGCCTGGCAGGCGGTGCGGCCGGCGGCCGGCTCGGCGTCATCATCGGGCAGGCGCCAAACGCGAGTGCTGCGGCGGGCTTCCGCCCTTTGGAGGGCCTCGCGGAGCAGCGGCTCGCCCGGCTCGCTGGCCTGACGGTGGAGGCGTTGTGGGAGCGCTTCGACCGGCGCAACGTGCTCTCGGCCTTTCCTGGCCGCAAGCACAAGGACGACAAGCACGGCACGGCGGCCGGCTACGCGCTGCACGCGAGCACGGGCGATCGCTTCCCGATGGAGGAGGCACGCGCGGCGGCGGCGGCGATGGACTTGTCGGGCTACCGACTCGTGGTGCTGCTCGGGCTCCGCGTCGCGTCCGCCTTCCGGCTCCGCCAGCCGAAGCTGCTCGAGGAAAGCTGCTCGGCGGAGTCGCCGCTCGCGTGCCCCGTGCTGGTGCTCCCGCACACGTCGGGCGTCTCGCACTTCTGGAACGAGCCGCAGAATGTGAGATTGGCGGAGGACGCGTTCCGGCGAGCGATGGCGAGGCACATGTCGTGATGGTCTCAAGGACTTGTTAGAAAAGAATGTGTCGCTGCCGTGCGCGCAACCTTGGCGTTTTCTTTGTTCTGAGTCCCTTGCCCAGTGTTCCGTGAGAATTCTTTGTTGGGGGGGTGCAGCACGTGCAGCATACCGGTCCAGCACACCTCACATCGCAACCAACGGTTGCCCCAGTGTTCAAGATGCCAAGCACGCGAGCTCTCGTCGTCGGCTCCGGCATCGCCGGCCTGACCACCGCGCGCGCGCTCCAGCGGCGCGGCCTCGACGTCGTCGTCGCCGCCCGCGAGTGGTCCGCACGTACCACGTCGGCCGGCGCAGGCTTTTCCAGGCTTTTCCCGTGAGCTGCAATACGCTGCGCGCATGAGCCGCTCCCTTGCCGCTCCTAGGAGGGTTGTGGATGCCGTTCCACGCCGAGCCGGCCGACGCGGTGGCGCGGTGGGCCTCGGTCACGCTCAGCTGCCTCCTCGAGGAGCAGCGCTCGAGCGCCGCCCTCGGCGCTTTCATCGAGTCCCTGCCCGCGACCGAGCTGTTCCGGGCAGAGGCACCGCCGCCGCCGCCGCCGTGGGCCTCCGACCCGCGCCTGGTCTTCGAGGCGTGCTCCGGTGATCCGGCGGCGGCGCTCGCGCGGCGCGGCGCCTCCACGCTCGTGCGGATCCCCAGCGAGTACCGCTCGAGCTGGAACGCCCTGGCACGCACCAAAAAAAAGGGTGCGTGCGCACGCAGGAGGTGTGTGGAACACCCTACACCGTAGGCTGTGGAACAGCCTCGTCGTGGACTCGCCGCGCTACCTCGACGCGCTGCAGGCGTCGCTCTTCGACAGCGGCGCCACCGCGCGGATAGAGGCGCTCGAAGGTGGCCCCGCCGCCGTGGCTGAGCTCGCGCAGAGGCTCGGCTGCGAAATCGCCGTCAATTGCGCTGGCTTGGGCGGCGGCGCCCTCGGCGGCGAGGATGCCTCGGCGGTGACCAACGGGCGCGGCGTGGTGCTGCAGTACGAGCGCGCCTCGGTGGCGGGCCTCGCCGTGGTCATGTCGCAGGAGGCGCCGCTCTCGGGCGGCGACGCGACTCCGGCTTACGTCATCCCGCGCGGCGACGTGGTCGTGTGCGGCGGCTCGTACGACGAGGGCGTGACGGCGGACGCGTCACGCGAGGAGGTGGGGCGGATCGAGGCCTCCGCAGCCGCCATCGCGCCCGGCAGCCTGGGGGCGCTGCGTCAAGTGTGGGTCGGCCACCGGCCGGTGCGAGGCGCGGGCGTGCGGGTGGAGGTTGAGCCGCGCGCCACGAGCGGCGGCGTTCTGCTGGCGCATAACTATGGGCACGGTGGGTCGGGATGGACAATCGCGCACGGCTGCGCCGAGGATATTGCGGATGGGGTCGCCGCCGCTCTTTCCTAGACACTCTGATTTTCCTCTGCGGACAACACACGAGCAAAAGAGAGCGCGAGACCAGCCACACCTGGCGCGCAGCGCGTGTGCGCGTGTCCAGCGCGCTTCCACGGCGCAGGGTGGTCCCGCTATATGGACAACACAAACGCGCACGCCGCGAAACTACTCACCTGGCGCCGAAATGAAATCGGCTCGGATTTGTTGCTGGTAGATCAACATGATGCCAAAGCATTGGCGGCTACCGTCAGCGACGGGCCGTGGTCAGCCGAAGCGTCAAGAAGCCGCGATGCCGTGTGACGACGACTTGGTGAGCAGCTCGCTCATCAGCTGCGGCCTCGCATCCTTCGCGATCTTCGTCGACGATTCGATCATCGGAGCACTCTTGTCGACCGTGTCGACGTGGTTCAGTTTCGGCTTCTCCTTCAACTCCTCCTTCAGCTGATTCATTGGACTGGCCTTGATGGTCACGCTCTCCTTGACAGGCTCAGACCGGTCGTTCGTCTGTGTTGGCTTCAGCGTCGTGCCCTTCTGGATCGCGGTAAGGTCCATGATCTGTGGCGGCGGCTTGAACAACCCTCTTTTCAGTCCCTCTTTTCAGTCGTCCGTTCGTCCTGGTCTTCACAGCCTTGTTATTGAGAAGAAAATACGTCCGGCGCTGTGCGCTGGTCTGTGAGAGGTTGAGGTGCGAGCCCTGGAGGCCCTGGGAATGGGGGGAGACTACCCAGCCTTGTTATTGATTGGGAAGAAAATACTCAAACGTTATTAACGTTAGCTGCTGTTGTTGGGGAGCCCCACTGTTGTTCTGTTGTTACTGTTAACACTAGCAACACTGTTCAGCTCTTAACGTTTGACAACCCTAGGAGCATAGACATGAGCATAGAGCACCCCGCGCGCAGCACGCCTCACGTGCCCACACGCGTCAGCCCACAGCCGTCACAGCAGAGCCAGCCCACCCCCCCATGGGGCATGGCCATGCTGTGACCTGTGTGCGGATTCTTAGCACACATTTACACAACGCTTCCTTTTAAATATTTTTTCATTTGCCGCGTCCTTTACCTTTACTATCGCCTCCGCGCCACCGCGCAGAGCCCTCTCGCCCCTCTACACCCAAGGCCGACGCAAAGGCGCCGTCGATACGCCGCCGCAAGGCAGGCGGCATCGCGGCGACGCCTCGCTCGCGATGCTCGGCAGCGGCGGCGAGGGTGACGAACAGCGTGTTGCGCAACACCGGCGGGCCAGCCTCGTCGAGCGGGCAGAGGCAGAACTGGGGCCGCGAGGGGTCCTGCGGTCGCAGGCCCGAGATCGCGCAGCGGCTGCGGAAGACGAGGTTGACGACGATGCCGACCTCGTCGAACGAGAGAGGCCACGCCTCGGGAGGGCTCCACTCGGGGAGGTGGCGCGTCCGCACGTGCTCCTGCCCGCGGCAGGAGGGGGCGGCGCGTGGCTCCGTGGGCGGGCGTCCGCGGGGCGACCCTCGGGGAGCGGCTCTCGGGAGGCTCTCGGGAGGGGCTTGGGAGACCCTCGCACGGGCTGACGAGGCGCTCCTTGTCAAAGCGCAGGAAGAGCTTCCGCTGATACGGCGCAGACAGCGGCGGGAGGGGCGGCGGCGGCGGCCGAGCAGCGCCACGGCCGCCGCCGCCGCCGCCACGTTCGCAGTCGCCGCCGCAAGCGCTGCCGTTCACATCGGCAGCGTCGCTGCCTCCGCCTCCTCCTCCGCCTCCTCCGCCTCCTCCTCCACCTCCGCCTCCGCGCAACAGCTCGAGTGCGCGCGAGGCGAGGGCGGCCCCGAAGGCGGCGGGCACCGGCGGGAGGACGGGCAGGACTCTCGCGCGGAAGGTTGGCTGCGAGCCGAGCGACTCCTTGCTGGCGCCCGCCGGCATCGGCAGCAGCCTGAGCACGTCCAACGCGCGCGGGGTGTGAGCACGCCCCGCGAGCCTCCGCCGCGCATCGACCCCCGGCAGGCGCACCCGACCCGCTGCTTTTCCGAAGAGTAGACGCACTCGACCCGCTGGTCGAGCGAGCGCCACCAGTCGCCGCCGGCTGGCTCCGCCGCGCGGACGAGCTTGCCCACGCTGCTCGCGACCGGGTCGCCGAGCACGTCCGCCAGCGGCGCCACGTGCAGGCAGCCGCAGTCCGCCTTGCCGCCCGCCCCGAGCGCGCTGAGGAGGGGCAGGCCGGCGCGAAAGCAGTGAACCTGCAGCTCGGCTTTGGTGGCAATGTCGTCGATCGCGTCAATCACGAGCGCGACCGGCCCGCCGAGCAGCTCCGCCGCCGCCGCCGCGTTGAAGAGGGACACCCTCGCGTCGATCTCGGCACCGGGCCGGATGGCGAGCAGCGCTGCGCGGAGGGCGAGCGCCTTGGCGAGGCCGACTTCGGCGCGGGTGGCGGTGGCGTGCCGGTTGAGCGACGAGAGGGTCACCTGGTCAAAGTCGACCAGCCGCAGCCGCACCACCCCGCCGCGCAGCAGCAGCTGCGCCGCGTGCGAGCCGACCCCGCCCAGCCCGACGACCACAACGAGCGGCGCGGCGCCGGCTTCCACTGCCGCACAGCGAGGCGCGAGGACGGGGCGGCCGCTCGCCCTGCGCCGCCGACGGATAGAGGCGAGGAGGAGAGCGCCGACGAGTAGCAGCGTCGAGGCGCGGAGCAGCATATACACACACACAACAGCACACGCCCTCTCGTCAGGCCGACAGGCTGAAAATTACGCCGCGATTTTGCGGCCTTCTCGAGGTTCTCGAGGTGGATAGGAATCTTATCCTTTGTTTGGGTGACGTTGGGTAGCGAGGATTGGTGTGACGCGATCCACGCAGGCGTGTTTTCTGGCGGCCGACCGTCAGTGCACGGAGTTGCCCCTTCTCCGACTGCCCCGGCTAGTTAGTTCCCCCGAGGTCGTCGGGTGTGACCCCTGCGTCCCCCGAGACCTAGCGCGGGTGGTTGGAGGGGGCTCGCTGCAAGGAGGGGCGGTGTAAGAAGCCGATCCCCGTAGTCCGCCCCGTCCCTCCCCATCGAGCCGCATAAGCGGCCACGCCTCGCAGATTCGTTTCTCGCGCCTGGGAGCTGGGACCTGGGTCAGGCGGACTGCGGCCTTGCTTTTGAGACATGGCCGCAGCAGGAAGGCGAAGGAGGGCGCTGGGAGCAACACGGTACACGGAGCTCCGTTGGACGCGTTTTCAAGATTAGCGTGTCAGTACAGAGTGAATTGGAACTAGCCAACACACACAATAGCACCCTTGTATCCCTTTCGACGTGGACGATCGCTCATTTTGTCCTAAGTTTAAATGGGCGCAGCCTCATTTGATTCAATGAAAAGTGGCTCGGCAAGAATGAGCTATCGTTGGGAATCCACTGTGCACTGAGAAAACGCACCCTAGAGGACTCGCTCAGGGCCACTAGGGCGGCGACCTCGACCGACTATGGAGGACCCGTCGCCAGACGACGCAGGGCAGAAGACGGTGAGGCGGAGCAGACGCGCAGAGCGAGACGAGGGAGGGAGCAGGACTTTGCGGAGATCAGCAGGAGGATGTACGAAGAGATTAGGAGTAGCAGGGACCCGAGGGACCATGTGGAAGACGGCTAGTGCTAGTCCCCCACCAGAGGACGACCCCGGCTAGTCGCCGACCACACCCACAAAGAACCCTGCACAAAGATCGCAAGGGCGGGGACCTGTTCCTTTTTACCCATCTCACAGTAGAGAGCTGTCCGTTTTTATTTATTTATTAGGGCCACTGTTCCACTGTTCCAGCTTCCAGCCAGCTTACATCTTCTCTCCGCCACACGCAGAGTCTCACCGAAGGTGCAGTGCACTGGCTGCGAACCGATTGGTCTCATCCTCGGTGTAGAGGAGCCTCATGTCTGTAGACTTGAGCGCTCTCCTCACCGTCTCGACCTCCGAGACATAGCCACTCTTGAACGCCTGGTACAGCTCGCCGTACCATTTGTCCTCCCCCGAGTTCGCTGCCGATGGCAGCCGGATTTTCACGCCCATGCGGCGCTCGACGATGGACGGCCAATGCGTCGAGTCCTCCGCACGAACGATGAGCAACCTCAGGGTGCCGCGAACGGCCCACAAATCGTGAGAGGACGGGTCAAACCGAGGGAGCCAGTCGACGCGCTCGCCGAGCACCTGCTGCAAGGTGTCGATGATCGACCTTCCCACCATGTGCGGTTCGAGTGTTTTGTAACGCGACATGATTTGGGCCAAGGACCAGTTTCTCACCGCGGGCCCAACATACTGTGTGTCCAGGGTCTCGAAGAAGTCGGACATTGCGCGGGCGAGCGTATCACGCACTGGGATGATCATCCATAAGTTTGTATCTTGCGGTCGTACCATCTCCACCATCCGCTGAGCCACTGAAGCCACGTGCGTCTTGAAGCCGCGTGGAGGGGTCTCCAACGCCAAATACTGATCATCTCGCCAAATGCCATCCGCGGCGATGTTCCGCACGAAAGGTAGCCGCGATCTACCAGTTAGGCAGCCGAACGCAAGCTCGAGGGATGTGCTGCCAGTCTTGCCGAGGGTGTAGAGGAGGAGGCGGTCCGTTGTGGAGTTCCAAGGGGTGACGTCAAGGCTGGGGCCGGCGGCCACCGCAGAGGTGAGCAGTGAGAGCAGCAAGGCAGGCATATCAGCCGCTTGCGGCAGCACAGGTGGGTCGAACACGCAGCACGCACGCGCGGCAGCACAAAAGTAGCCTACGGGGCCGGTTGCCTACAATGCAGGGCTCCACAAGTGCGCGTGTCGAAACCTCTCCGACGCGCTCGTCTATAGTCACGCCACGTATGAAGATTCTTCCTGCGTACTCTAGTAGTGCCAGTGCGCGCCAGTCCCGTGCCCAGTGTTGCGCTAGGGTGCATTTTTCTAATTTTTTGTCGAATTCTAAAATTACGTAAGAGCTACATACACTGGAAAATCCGAGAAACCCTTCGGCTCGCTCCTCATCGCAAACCCCGTCAGCAGTTCACCCTTGGGTATTCATTCGATTCTTCTTGTGCGTGACTTCGCAGGCAAGACTCGAGCACGCTCTTAGAACGCTTCGTGCGCTCTCGGTGCCTCGAACAATGCCCGTGTGCGCGACGTCAGCCAAGGACGCCATTCTGCACCGACCGTCGTCACCAGCGACGGTCATCCACGAGCCGGATGCTGGCGTCTCCAAGACTCGTGTGAGCGTGCTCATCATTGGTGGCGGGCCGCACGCACTTGCGGCGCTCTCCGCCTTGCACGAGAGCTCCTTCGCCTTTGGGCAATTCACGTCAGACAACGCCTTCCAGCGGCGAGTGGGCTTCAAGAACCTCCAAAAGATTGGCATGGTCGGCATCATCGATCCAAACGAGGGCTTCTGCGAGGGATGGAACAAGCGCTTCGCGTCCCTGGAGATTGAGCACCTGAGAAGCCCCGCGCTGGCCCACCCGCTCGCCTTTGAGCCCATGGCGCTCGTGAACTTTGCGTTGCGCGAGGGCCGCGAGGGCGAGCTACTGGCAGCGCCCTTTGTAAGCAGCAAGCTGGCGGACGAGGGCTTCTCGATGCAAGACCCGCGCCTCTACAGCCTGCCGTCGACCGCTCTATTCCGCGACTTTTGCGCGTCGCTCGAGGCCAAGCTACCCCACGAGTGGTACCGTGGGTATGCGACGCGGGTGGCCAAGGACGGCGACAGCGGCGAGTACATGGTGAGCTACGAGTGCGAGGGCGTCGAGCACTGCGTTGTCGCCGAGGCAGTCATCTTCGCGACGGGGCCGACCGGGCCGCCGATTGTGCCCTCCCCGTTCCTCCCGTTCATGGGCAGCACGATGGCGGACGGCGTTGACGGCGTTCCTCCCGTTCATGGCGGACGGGTGACGCACACTGCCGAGCTGCTCGGCCGGGGCAGCACGATGGCGGACGGCGTTGTCGGCGTGCGGGGCGCGAGGGTGCTCGTCGTCGGCGGTGGCCTCACCGCTGCGCAGGCCGCGCTGGCGGCGGTGGGTGCCGGCGCCGCCCGCGTCGTCCTGCGCTCTCGCCGGCCGCTCCAGACGCGCGCCTACGACCTGCACGACGACTGGGTCGACATGCGCAAGACGAACCGGCTGCGCTTCGACTTCCTTTGCATGGAGGACCGCTGCGAGGGGGCGAAGCGGGCGGCGCCGGGCGGCACAGTGCCCGCTTCCTACATGGAGGAGCTGCGCCGCGGGGCGGCGAGCGATTCTAGCGCGCTCGAGCTGCAGGTGGACGGGGGGATTGAGCAGAGCGCCGTGCGACTCGAGCGCGGCGAGTTGCATGTCGACGGCGACGCCTTCGACCTCGTGATCCTCGCGACGGGCGCCGCCAAGACGCCGCTGTCGTCCAGGTTGTACCAGCAGGTGCAGGCCGACTTCTCCGCGCCGGTGCGAGACGGCTTCCCGCGCGTGGACACGTCGCTGCGGTGGGCGGACGGCGAGGACTTGTTCGTGGTCGGTGCCAACGCCGTCCTCGAGCTCGGCCCCGGCGCGCTCAACCTGATGGGCGCGATGCGCGGCGCAAAGATCATCGCGGTGGCGCTCCGAGACCTGATGTGGACCACCAAGCGCGACGGGGCGCCTTCGGCGGTGGTCAACGTGAACAGCTTCTCGTGCCTCGGCCTCAAGGACGCGGTGCTCCTCGGCTTCGCCGACAGCTCGGACGAGGAGGACGCCGCCAGCAGCTCGGACGACGAGCAGGCGGTGGTCGGCGAGGCGGTGCGGCAGCTGTCGTCGCTCTCCGTGCGCCCGGCCGCTTCAAAGAAGAAGCAGGAGCCGCCCCTCTCCAAGGCGAAAGCGGCTCGCCTGCGCGCTCGGAAGCACAGGAGGGCCACAAAGGCGTCGAAGGGCATGTGATGTGAGGGGCCCAGTGTCGTGTCTGCGTGGTTGTCGTGTGGCGCAGCCGAGACGCGCACGTGTGTACCGGGAGAGAGGGGAGTCGGGAGAGAGCGCGTGTGTGTCGTCGCGGGGTCCGTGTCCGCCGTCTCTCTGCCCGGCGCCCAGATATACGCTCGGGTCTAGGCTCGGGTTATGTGGAAGGGGGTCGCCCCCCCCCTCTGCGGCGACACTCGGAGAGGGACTCGGGGCGTCGCCGTCGGGGGACCAGGCCTCCACAGGCACAGCTCTGGGTCTGCGTCTGGGGGCACACTCTGCGGGCTATAAGCCCGCCCCAAACGCTTTCTATCTTAACGTGGTAAAACACCCCGCGTATAAACGAGACTCAAAATATTTGTGTCTTTTTTGTGCATGTGTCGGTAACCGCTCAAGAAGGTAGAAGCCAACTTCTAACATCTAAGAAACATATAGGACAGTAACATATAACACACGACTCTATCTGTTACTAAGCCGTATCTCTCACGAGCTCCTCCGCCACATCGCCTCGAGGGTTGCCTGGCTGCTGCCGCCTAACCGCGAGGCTAGCGGGCCGATGGGAGGTCGACCGAGCGTATCGTGCGAAAGCCTGCGCTTTGCGCCGGCGCTGCTAGCGCCCCGCGCCGCTTCGCACGCAGCACAGAGGGGAGCGAGGGGAGGGTTGATCAGCGTGCACGCGGCGCACTCCCAGCCCGCCTCCTCGTCGGCCTCACAGGGAGCAGCGGCAGCGCCGAGGGCAGAGGCAGGGCCGAGGGCAGAGGCAGGGCCGAGGGCAGCGGCAGAGCTGAGGGGAGTGAGAGAGCCGGGAGAGTCGCGGGCAGCGGCAGAGCTGAGGGGAGCAGAGCCGTCGGCGCATGCGGCCATGCCTCCGGCGGCCGGCGCGGCGGGAGGGGAGGCGGCAGCCGCAAAGGGTGCAGCCGCGGCGGCGGAGGCTGCGCGCGTCGCGGCCGGCGACTCCTCGAAGCTGCGCACAGTGAGGTTGATGCGCCGCCCCTGCAGCTCGTGGAGTGCGCGGCGGCTGCCCGCCTTCATGACCTCGTGCTTGTGCGTGCGCTGGCACGCGCCGCCCATCACGACGAGGTCGCCGTCGCCGAGGACGACGACCGCGCCTTTGAGCTTGGCGTCGCGCCACGCTGGCGGGACGACGGCGTCGCGCACGCCGTCTTTCGGCAGCAGCCGGAACCGCCGCACGTGCGCCTGCGGCTGGCACCATGAGAGGGAGAGGATGGGCGCAGAGGCGTGGAGATGCCGCTCATCGTCCGAGTGCGCGCCCATGTAGTCCGAGCCGCCCTCGTAAAAGTTGAAGAGCGCCGAGTTCTGCGGCTCCGTATCCGACTCGACCCGGTGCAGCGCATCGATCACCGGCGCGATGGGCGCGGGCACGGCCGCAAGAGGCAGAGCCGCCGCCGTCTGTCCAGTGAAGCGATAGTCGAACCCGTAGGCTTGCTGGTAGCGATGGAAGGTGACGGGCTTCCCGTACATCACCCCCATCGGCCGGGTCGGCGGGTGCGTCGCCCACACAGTTTCAAAGGCCTCCTTGTCGCTCGGCCAAAAGCGGCGGGCGTGCAGGATCCACGATCGGCCGTCGGCGGTGAGGGAGTGAACGTCGACCGTCACCGCAGGTCGGATGGCTGTGAGCCGGGCGGCGAGGATCTGCGCCTCCGTCAGCATTGGGGCGCGGCGGCGGCGGCGGCGGCGGGGCGGCGGCCGCGGCGGCGGCGGCAACGGGTGTATGTACAAATCAGGATTTTTTTTATTGTAAGGCAGGGGGAGGGATCGGAGGACGGCACGCCGGACGCCGCCACCACACAGGGATTTTAAGGAGAGGAGTGTGGTGCTAGCCGTCGCCCACCCTCGGGCGTCTCCTCTTCTCTCCTGCTGTTTCATCCTCTGACTCATCGCTCCTCAGCCTCGTTCTGAGACGCCGCCGCCGCCTGCCTCGATCCCTTGTGCGGGGGCGCTTCGTGCTCGAATTCTTTTTCGGTGTGCGGCTTTACCTGCGTTAGTGCGAGTGGCTCACTGGCCGGAGTGCGCGGGCTGGCAGTCCAGTAACATTTAACAAAATCACACACACACACACACACAACGACGTGTCATCCAAAAGGAGCGTATAGCATGTGCTTGTGTGCATGCTCACAGAGGTCAACAGGTCTGTGCAAGTCTCTCCCCCCCCCCCCCCCCCCAGTCGACATGTCGGCTCCTGCTCTACTCGTGACGGCCCGCCACATTCTCCCTTGGCCTTGCCTTCCTCGCACCCGCCCTCGCCGCCGCGATCGTTTGTCTCAGCGCTGTCGCCTCTCCTCGCCGCACGACCGACGCCACGGCCACCGAGGCGAGGTTCGCCTGGAAGCCGGCGATGGGGCCTCGCTGCGCCGCCTCGAGGGCGCGCAGGCTGGCGCGACACTCGCGGAGGAGGCGGGCGTACGCGGCGCGCTCGATGGCGGTGCTCGATGGGGCGGCGAGGGCAGCCCACGCGTCGACACCAGCCGCGCTGACGAGGGGCGGTGCCCCAAAGCCGCGAGGCGAAGCGGCGGCGGCGGTGGCGCCGGCGAGGTGGGTGGCGGCCTCGGCTGGCGGCAGCGCCAGCAGCCGCAACACTCGCATCAGCGACGGGTCGACCTCGGGGAGCGCGGCGTCGACCATCGGTGGCCGATGTACCAACGGCGAAGCGGCCGCTGCCTGGCCCGGAGGCGGAGGCGGTGACGGAGCGAAATCAGACACGGGTGAAGGCAGCGGCGGCAGCGGCAGCAGCGACGGAAGCGGCGGCGGCGGCGGCGGCGAGGGCCTTGCCACAAGCTCGAATCTCAAAGACTCCTGCCCTGCCGCCTCGAGCACAGCGCGCTTCTCTGCGCGCCAAGGGTCGGCGGGGTCCACCTCCAGCCGGAGAGCCGCGGACGGCGACTGGGCGGCCGTCACGAAGCCGAAGGTGAGGAGGGAGGTGCGGAGGGTGTGCGGCCCGTACGAGGAGGGGAGCTGCGAGCCGCAAGGCACGGCGCGCTCGCAGAAGAGCGAAAGAGCACTTTCGCGTCTCTCCCGACCCAAGGCTCTCGCCGCCGCCGCCTCCGCCTCAGACTCCGCCTCCGCCTTCGCCTCCGCCTCCGCCTCCGCCGCCGCCGCCACCGCCGCCGCCGCCGCCTCCTCCGCCTCCGCCTCCTCGCCCCTCCTCTCCGCCTCCCACCTCACTGCCCGGCTCGTCGCGTCGTCATGATTCGCAAGATCGATGAAGGGCGCCAGCACAAGCTCGTCCCGCTCCCAGCCCCCGCCCCCTCGCCGCCGCATGCGGGGCATGGTGTACGCGCGGGACCTGACGAGAGCGTTGGCCAACATCCACCTCTGGAGCCCGCCGCTGCGCTCTCCGCTGAGCGGGCAGGGCGCGCCGCCGTCGAGGCCGAGGCGAGAGAGCCACGAGCAGGCCGGCTCGGCGGCCGTCGAGAAGGGTGGCGCCCGCCGCAGGGAGCGCCGCAGCCGCCGCAGCTCGGCGGCGCTCGCAGCGCGCAGCTCTCGCACGTCTGTCAGCAGGCTGGTGCCGGCCAGCAGCGTCTCGCGAAGCACGCGCGGCCATAAAAGCGGCGTGTCGACCGATGAGGGTAGAGTTCGCACATAGGGACCAAACCTCGAGACGTCACCTCGTTGCTGTGCCGCCGCCGCCGCGAGAAGCTGCAGTGCCAGCACGCCGGTGCTCTCATCGTACCCGTTGTGCTCATCCTGCAGGACGCCCTCGGCCGACAGGACCTCAAGCAGCGCGCCGAGCTGGGGGTCGTCGTGTGCGGCGGAGTCGACCGTGAGAAGAAGGGCGCGAGGGACGGTGGCTGCCACGTGACCTTTTGGCAGGTCTCGCGTGGCGACAACGCCGACACCCATCCCGTGGCCCAGCCAGGAGGCTTTCACGCCGTCGAGGCGAGCACCGTTGGCGAGGAGCCATGCGGTGAGTGGCGCAATGGCGGCGGATCGTGCGGTTAACGGGGCGGGTGGAACTCTCATATGGGCGAGTGGAACTCCTGATGCAGCGACCCGTGAGCCCGACGAAGGCGGCTGGGGCGCAAAGAATTCTGAGATGAGGAATAAACGCGGGAAGTCGTACCCGCTGATCTCTCTCTCTGACGCCCTGAGGCGGGAGCACTATAACCAACAACATACCCAAAACTAAAAAATGGAGCTAGGCTAGGGTTGCGCAGCTATGAACAGGAGCGAGTTCGCGCTGCGCTAGGCTCAGACGGCGTGTTCGCGCTGCGCTAGGCTCAGTACGGCGAGTTCGCGCTCTGCACCGCTACTCTCCGCTAGCGGCAGGCTCTCTTGGCTCTTGCGGAGAATTTATCTGGGTGATGCTCTGATAAACCCTCCGGATCTTCGACAAAGGTCGGATATTTCTTTTTTCAAAGTGCAAGGTGTGAATAAGAGGTTTATGATCGGGCTACTACGACGAACTATGCGGCAATCGACTGGGCGCCTGGCGCCCGACCACCCCCGCGCAAAGACCTCGTAGTAGCCCTCCCCGTAACCGACTTGGCCGGACTTGTCCAGGCCGCTGTCGCCGCGCAGATCGGCGCGAGCAGTCGCTCGAGGGGCTCTACTGGCTGGCGGTGCTCAAGGGGAAGGCGTACACGCTGGCCGAGGACACGGTCGTCAACACCGACACCATCCCCGCGGGCTATCTCGTGGTCAAGGCGCAGTGGCTCAGGCTCGAGCAACGCGAGTGCGAGGGCAAGCTTCGCTCCTACACGCTGCTCGAGGCCGAGACGCTCATCATCGTGAATCACATGGTGCGGCTGGCGGGCTTGCGCTTCTCGCCCGGCCCGGGCGGCCCTGCGGACCGCCAGCTGAGGAGCGCGCGCGAGAAGCTCTATTATATTGGCCTACAGACGCATTACTCGCTCGAGGCGTGCTGCAGTGAAGACCAGTCTTAGAGCCGTATTGAATTGTTTGGAGGCGTCGATTTGTGCAAAAATGTGTGTTAGAGAGCGCTAGATGGCAAAATTTTCTTCGCCTCCGGCGGGGCCGCTCGCCGCGGGGCTAGAGAGTGACTTTTGTCGATGTCGGCTAGAAGTGCTGCACGTTTTTCAGAATTTCACCCATCTCTCGGCTGCGTTGGCTCGCCAAAGTCTTTGTTCTCGATGGCGCTGGGTCCGCTGACTGGGGCGGGCGTGGGTGTGCGTGTTTTGTAGAGAAGCAAAAACGCACGTCGTCCGGGTTCTGTCGTGTGCGTCGAGCGTGCGGGCGGAGAGGCGAGGCTGAGCCTGTGGCGAGAGCTAAGACAGAGCAGTGCGAGAGTTACACACGACACACACGACACGACAGGGACACAGACACAGACACAGACACACACTGCGCTCCCCTCAGCGGGTAGGGAGACGCGAACCCGACGGAGTCCGGTGGTGGGGGCCCACGCAGCCAGCCCCTGCGTTGCAAAGGTTGGTGCTGAGCCGCCGCCGCCGCTCGCTCTCGAAAAGCGTCGCGCTGCTGCCCGTTCCCGGAGCGACGAGCGCGAGTTTGGTGGCCAGGGCCTTGCCTGAAGGGGGGGCGGGGCAAGGGGGGAGAAGATGAGGACGTCACCGAGCGGGGGCTGCCGGGAAGGTGGTGGGCGGGGCGTCGATGCACCTTAAACGGGCGAGTAGCGGGAAGACCGTCGATACTCCGGCGGAAGAGTGCTCCCCCGCCGCCCCCTGGGTCACCCCGAGTGACCTCGCAGCCCACGCCGTGAGGCGCTGCTGTCAGGGGAATGTTGGGGGCGCGCAAAGCCACTCGGAGGAGACGGCCAGGAGCCAAGGTGCGGCCGGAGCGCGGCGAAAGACCGAGGGGAAGTGGCCGCCGCATACAGCCTCCGGCGGGCCTCCGGCGGACGCCTGCGGCGTGGCGCTGCGCGCGACCGGCCCCTTCTCGGTGCGCTGCACGACGGCCTCGCTCAAACGCGCGCCTGCCGGGGCGGGGCGGTCACGAGACCGGCTGAAATCGCGGCCACAGCTGCTTCGGGGGGTGAGGATGGCCGGGCTTGAACGGCTTCTCGCGAGGTACTCGCGTCCTGACGCAGCAGCGATTTCGCGGGCTCTAATTTTTCGCGGCCTTCGCCGAGCGCAGGCGCTGGGTGGGACCAGGGGGAGAAATTTCTTTTCTTCGCGCCCCCGCACAAGCGCCGAGCCAAGGAGCTCCGCGGAGCCGCCAGGCGCCCACCCCGGCGGTTCGCTCGCTACGCGTCGCTCACCGCCGGGGCGGGCGCCTGGCGGCGCCGCTGCGCAAAAAGGGAAGAAGACCTACGAGGCTGATCCGGGCGTAACGCCAGCACTAGTGAGTAGTGTGGGTCCTGCGGCGGTACCCGCCTCTGTTGTTCGGGCAGTGAGAGACGCAGGATCTGCACGCGAAGTGGGCCACTCCGCATTTGCATTTTGGTTTTGGGTGTCGGAGATATCATCCATCGCAAGCATTGCTAAAAATCTCACTCTCGCAAGCACTCATCAGTCAGTCACGTCAGTCAAACCCGCGCCGAGCCGGTCTCGGCGGGAGACCTCGGAGCCGCACGCGATGCTGCGGCGTGCGTGATGGCTCCGTTGGCTCCGTGCCCAAGGCAGATAGATTAGGGTGTGAGCTGCGGCAGCCAGTCGGAGGCCGCGATGGATGGCCCAGGGCCGGCGGCGGTGAAGGCGTCCGTCGATGAAGGGATGTCGTCGAGGGAGCCATCGTCCTCCGCGGCTGGTGCACCGGTCCAGTTGTCGGAGTTCGAGATCGCAGTCGACTTGGAGATGTTCGGCCCGTTGACGAACTCACGGAATGTGAGCGACTTGGTGCACGCTGGGTCGAGCATCATGACTCGCACCTCATCCTGGGCGAGGAACTCGCCCAGGGACCCGCTGTTGGCGTCGCCGTTTTGATCGAGCTGCATCCACTGCATGGTTTCGTAGCCAAGCGTAAACGCCCAGGAGTTGGTGCCTGGGTGACTTGCTGATGAGAGCGCCTTCCAGGCGGGTAGTCGTGCCCCTCACCTACGGTCATACGGCGGCGTCAGAGGGGGGGAAGGGGCGCGAAGCGTGAACATGGAGGCAAGCAGGTGGTGGGCACCTGGCCAAAGCCGGCGACCTCAAAGTTGTCGTTGCTTGTGCGGAGCGTGAAGGGGACCGGATCGGCAGCAGCGCGGGCGGCAGCGGCCGGAGAGGCCGGAGAGCTGTCCGACGGAGGCCGGTCGTGCATCGGCGCGTCGGCCGTAGGGGCCGTGGGGGGCGGCATCCATCGCTGCGGGTCGCTGCGGGGTGCGGGCCGACGATTGTGGACTGATCGATTCGGCGGGCGGTGGGACGTTCTACCGTTAAAAGAGCGAGACGAGAGACTTATAAGGGTAGACAGCGAGGCGCCCACGTACGTACTTTAGTACGCGTCTCTCTACTTGTACGCCAAACGCATTCTGTGTGAGCTCTGTGTCTTGATTTGCCAACAACAAACCTAAAGCAAAACGTGCCTCCCCGTCTTTGTAGCCTGGCGTTTGTGCCCCGTTTGTGCCGCGTCCCGTGCCCCCGAGTTCATTTTATATACAAAGCAAAACGCACGTGTGCCCCGTTTGGTGGGCAGGCGAGATGATCGGCAGATGATGAAGGCTTGAAGGGCGCGAAGTTTACAATATTCTGCTCAGAGGGGTGGTTGACGGGTTGAGGGTTGAGGCCCCCCCTCAACCATCTGGTTGACGGTTGAGACCCCCCGTCAACCCTTTAGTTGAGGGTTGAGGCCTCCGGGGCCTATTCACAGGCTCGCGCGTGATCACAAGATAAACTGGAACAGCCTGCCGCCAAAAAATCGCTTCGCCTGCGGCGCGCTCTTGCGCTCCTCGTACCTCGAGCGCAATCCATAAGTAGGAGACGCTCACTGTCGCCATTCAGGCGCCTGATCCTTCAGCAAAGCGATGGCCTACCAGGTACGAGTTCAGATGCGCGCCCGGCAGAAGACGCTTGTGCTGCCGCATGCAGTGGAATGCGCACAGAGAACGGACGGCAAGAGAAGGCAAGGGAAGGAAGATAAACGGCTGGTGAAGCTCAGCTCACGGCGTAGTATTGCGGTCACTAACCATTCACGGCAAGAGTCACGGTGAATGCTGCCGCATAAAAGCAACAGAGTCGCGGTTGGCGCGATGGTCTTGTCGCGGTTATATAACGACTTGACGTTGCACACGGCCATAGACGCAGTATCTGTTTGGCGAGCCTCAAGCAGCGAAAGCAGGCGCGAGAAATTAATGTCAATCCTGAGATCTCAATTTTGGCGCTAGTTTCGTTTTCTGGTGCACACATCATGACGACTTGGGTCTCATGTAGCTCTCGACGGCTCTTCGACGGCTCTTTCTGGTTGGATCAGACAGTGCTATCAGTCAACAACACAATGCCGAGAGCAGGGCGGCCTTCGAGCAGGGCGGCCTTCGAGGCAACTAAGTTCCTGCTGCATTTTTCATCGTACAACTTGATGGCGGGCGGACGTGTCGAGCATGGAAGGCGGCCATTGCTCAAACCTGTTCGAGTTGGCCTCCGGGAACAAGGGTGCGTGGCCGGCGCGGTCTGTTTCACGTGCAATAAGGGCAACGCCATCAAAATCGCGAACATGGGCCGACATGCCTCCGACATTTCTCAGGGCTCGGACGGAAGCTCTGCAGACAGCCAGACCGCTCTGCGCGGTCGGACCGACTTTTTCAGACTTTGCTATTCTGGATACTTGAGGGTATGTGCTGCTAGATCTCACTGAGCTGAGCTCGTATCTGGCTTTGGTAAGCAGTTTTGAGTTCGGTAATGTCTCCGGAGACGGAGGGCCGCGTCCGCGGACGACCATGACGTCGGCCGCAGGTCGGCCGGGACAGAGAATGTGTGTTCAGACCTTTGCGCGGGGGGTGTGAACAGCCATTCCGCGTGGTTGAGGGGTTGAAGGGGTCTGTCAACCACTTGGTTGAGGGTTGAGGCCTCTGTCAACCACGTGGTTGACAGTTGAGGCAATCGGCCTCAACCACCGCTCTGAGTAGACAA